CTTTCTATAAAATATTAAGTGTAATATTTATCTAAAATAAAATTTCTAATAAAATATTGCTGGCTGGCTTATTTTGCTTTACTTTTATGTCATATTTATATATAATTTATTAATTTTAATATGCACTAAATAGACTTTTTGACAATTCTTATTGATAGCAAGTTTTTTTTTGGTTCTTTGCCTTAGCTATACTATTCATTTCAGATTCCCGTTACTATTTATGTAATTTGTTAGAGTTTGTTCATCCTTCTTAAGCCTAAAGCTTAAGAAATTTGAAATTTTCTATCATAGAGATAACAGTGAAATAAAAAGTGGTGATGGAAATATTGCTTCCATATCGTCCTTTGCTGGATATTGAAAAGTGCCACAAAAATGGAACCCAGAGCCTACTGCCATGCTGGAGTGTACACATTTATGTCAGATTTCCTATAGAATCAGGTGAACTTATAATGGACTAGTTTAATTTGGAAGGGTTTGGTGTATTCTTTTTTCATTTTAGATTGTGGATAGCATTTTATTTTGTAGTATAATGTATCTGTATTTAAAATGACATGTTTCCTGTCATACATCAAATGAATTAGAGTGATACTCCATTTCTTCAGTCATAGACATCTCAGGAACTGGAAATCCTCTAAAACATGTACATATATCCAAGTTATCAGACTGACTGCAGTATGATTTTCTTTGTTTCTCAGTTATTTAGTAGAAAATTAAAACAATTTAAGCTGTAAAGAAATGATCTCTCAATAGAGAATGGCAGGACAGAACTTCCAAATGTCTGGGTATACTTTGATTTGTACATTTCTTCCTAAAAAAAATCTTCAACTTCTTCCTGGAGTAAAATGCTACTGTCTTTCAATTTCTAGCACTTGAGAATAAAAAAGCATGATAAATACTTTCTTATTGCAGTATAGCAGAATAATGTGGTTTACACTTCCACACAAAAGAAAATGGAATACTGTTTTTCAACATTTAAAATAATGTGATGGACTGTTGGATTTACCTTAATGTCACAAATCCATTCAATAACTGATATACCTAGAAAACAAGAAATCATAGTTTGCATGGATGGATAATCATTCCACCCTTACTGTTTTGGGTTTGGGTTTTAAAACTTGCATTGGTTTCCTATATTTGTCATAGTAAAATCTTTCTGGGGGCTTTGCAACTCAGTAATATACTATTTTATTCATTGTTTCACAAGCTTAATGTCTTAGGAGTGAAGCTGTAGGCATTTAACACATTAACTTCCTCCCAGTGCATGTTGTGTTTTATTTTTAGTTGAGATGTTTGTATTTGAAGTACATTTAAAATTTTGTTTGATGTTTAAATCAGTTCCAGAAAAGTCATCACATCTTTTTTTTCCCTGCTATTTAAATATTTGCTTCTGCTTTATCACTAAGCTTTTCTATGCATGACTGAGTCCTGCCATAATAAAAATTTCATGGTGCATTATATGAGGAAGTAAAACAAGGAGGTTATTTTTGTCTGGAGGCTATAGCAAAAATCACTGTGCATCTTTACCAGTACATGTGGCTCTCTGGAGGACTGCATATTATTCTATTTAAATTACTATAACTAGCAGGTTTTCTGTGCCATGAAGCTAGATGATACACACAACCGATAAGAGGTCAGAGACCCAGTGAGCGTTTATAAGGCAGGAAAGTGTAATGATATTGATCAAGGAAACAAATTAACAAGAACATCTCTTACCAGCAGAATTCAATTTCTTCTCCACATATTATTATGTGTACTTTGTTTAATGATGCACTGCACTGTATCTTTTGTACTGTAGATATATACCAAGAATGTTCAGGTTTCATTTTTTTCTTATTTTTCTATTTTTTTTTTTTTAACCAAATAATTTCCAGAGTCCAACTCCTTTCCAGTTTTCTATAAAATGATAAAAGGAAACTAATGATACTTGCATGACACTTCTAAACTAAAAAGTGATGCTGAAGGTCAGTACTGTAGGGATAAAAGGATAAAACTGACAAATTAAATCCATTATTTCTTTAATTACAATTGTTTCCACTTAAGAATTAGATTTTAAATTAAAAAAAAAAAAAAAACCTACAAAAAAACCCTGAATTTATAAGAAAATGGTATAAGATATTAAGAAGAAATTCTTTACTCAGAAGGTGTTGAGGGACTGCCACAGACTGCCCAGAGCATCTCTGGATGCCACATCCATGGAAGTGTTCAAGGCTAAATTGGGTGGAAATTTGAGCAACCTGATCTAGAGGGAGGTGTCCCTGCCAATGGAAGGAGAGTGTGATCTTTAGGGTCTCTGCCAAGCCAAGCCATTCTGTGATTCTATCTTTGCACTTTTTTGGTGTGTGTTTTCTATTTTTTTTAACTTTGTATTACTTGGAACTTTTTTCATTAACTACATGAAATGATTTACTAATATACCAATATGGTTCTTATACATTTTTACCCTGGAAAGTAACTAATTTCCAAGGTTTATCTGTCTTCAGAACAAATCTTCTTTATTCACAGTATTTGGAGAGCTGAATTATCTTTATTTATTTAGTCCTTTTATATATTAATCAAAACATTGGTTTAAATTTCTAATTTCCAGGAAAAAAAAATTATGATGATAAACTTCTAAATCCGTATCAGTACCTGAATGAAAGGCGTATTGTGGATCATCTTCATCATCATGTCCATTAAAGTGCAAGCTTAAGTTTATGTTAAGTGAGTGGCAGATTTAGTGACTCAGACCTATAATTATCCACCATGTTAACGCTGCAGACATCTGTTAATTTGCATTCATATGACTGACACTGATTTCATAGTATAGTCCTCTTATAGATCTAAAATTTCAGTGATTTTAACAAAGTTTTCTCTAAGTAGTTATCTCCTCTGACTAGTCTATCTTTGAACACTTTGAAACTGTTCCTTAGGCACTTCCTGTGGAAACAGTGGTGCAGCACATGCTGGAGATAAAATGTTGGACTTGAATTGATATGTTAGACACTTATTTTATTTGGTTCACACTTTAAGCTTGCAGCTACATATTTGATATATAGGAAGTAAGGAATACAGATTTAAGTTCTTAGCTTCTCTATCACTCTTCTTATCTTTTAAATAAGAGAAGGAAAGTTTAGTTCACTTAAACTTTCATTATCCTGTCTTTGAAAATTTGATATCCAAGGTCTTTATTTACAATTGGAGCCTGAGCATAAGAAAACCTACGAGGCAAGGTTACCTTGAAAAATCTTTTAGTAAGGTCTAATCTCAGATCACATCATTAACACTGAAAGTGTAAATTGCCTAAGCCTCAGCTAAGAAGACAAAAATAGGTTTGAGAGCACGCTCCCTTGCAAAGAGTGACATATTCTAAGTGAAAAGCCTCTTCTCCTCTACTGACTATAGAAAAGTGAAAAGGGCTCCTTAAAAATATACTCTGGCCATGCAGCTGTCTGCCAAGACAACCTCCTTTCCCAGAACAGAATTTTCCTGAGCTAATGATCTTCAAAGGACCATAAGGAAAGTGGAAATCAAATCAAGTGTTGAGAAAAAGGTTCTAAGCAGCTGCTTTTGTTGCCAGAAGCTCCCTTGATTGCATCACATGCACAGCTCAAACCAGTCACACTGAAGACAGTGTCTCACTGATAATTATAACACTTTATCTGGAAATATGGACAAGTCCAATAGCAAATTTCATCTGCCAGATTCCATAATGCAGAGATAATTAGGACTTGAATGTGGTCGTAGGGTCCAGTGAGAGAAGAAGCAGACCTGAGCTCTTAGAAATTAGCTCAGAATAATTTCAGACTTTCCAGGGCACTGAGTACCAGTTAAGATTCATAATTATTGTGAAAACATCTGGGAAAAGTGTTACTTTCAGAGGATAGCCATGGATTAAAAGGAAAAGATTACAGGCTGTAGAAGATCAAAGTGCAAACTGAAAATGCATCATCCAGTTAAAAATAAATCTGTTTATATGGCTCCTTAACTCCTTTCTTTTTCTTCTTAAAATCTTTCAAGAATGGGAATAACTTTTATTGTCACACACCCTCACAAAAAGAAGTTAATTTAATCTAATAAGCTAAATACAAGAATGTCCAATAATGAAGGTCCAGGGAAAAATCTAAGAACAGAAGGATTGGGTAATAAACCTCTAAAATATCTTCCTAGCCTCTCATCATTTCTATCTAAGGCACTTACTCAGCTGTTTCCGAGAGGTGCGTACTGGTATTGGTTATACTTTTCTTACATCAGCTGCTGAGTTGATTTTCTTGCAGCTTTTGTGGATTCTGAAGAAGTTTAGGCCCCCTACTATGTTGGAATATTTATTTCTTGGGCTGAAACAAAACTTTCACAAATCAGAATTGAAGAAAAATTGTTAACAACATTACGTTTGAGCAAACATATATAATTGAAAGCTGAAAAAAAAAAGTCTACATATCTCAAAAAGTTTGTGCCTTCAAAAGTGCCTTCAAAAAATAGTAAGAGAAGAAATAATGTGTTATATGACCTTGCCTTGCAGTGCACTCTTTTTTTTTCTTTTTCTTTTTCTTTTTTTTTTTTTTTCTTTTTGGCAATAATGATATTTGTTACATTCAAAGGTATTCATGGCTGTGTTTGGAAAAGTTTTGGTAAATGCAATCCAAATTCTTTAAGTTGTACAGCTTAATAGTGTTGATGAGGTAGTTAAAAAAGTATTCAAAATTATATGTAATGAATATATGAAAAGAATAATAAAACAGGTTTGTATAAAGTTTTTGAATTTTTGACTTTGTCTTACCCTCAGTAACTAAAGCCCAGTTTTTATAAATTAGGTTCAACTCTGATTCCTAAACGAGGGATACTATGCTCTCAGGATTTAGGCTTAAAAAGAGAATTACTGTGATTCATTTTAACAAAAATTAGAACTCTAAAAAAATGATTATATTTGACAGAACTCCCCTCTCAACATGCATGCTTAGTTCTGACTTAATTCTACCTCAATACTTTTTTCTCTCATTTATTGTCTTATACATGTTTCCCAGGATAGCCCACTGGTCTTACAGTCTGACAGAAATGTAACAGTGAATGCGAGAAATCACATGGGACAGTTAACTGGACAACTGACAGTAGGTGAGTGTTCTTTATTGACTGTTATGTATATGAGTTTAGATTTATGAATAGCTTAATTAAAACAGAGGATAAAATACTGGAATCAGAAAAAATCTTGTCACCATATTCCAAAAAGAAACAGTGGATCATAGAAGTATAATTAGCATTAGCTGAAGGAAGAGAAAGTAGGAATGGACATACGTAGTTAAAACATAGCTTAATGAGAAAAGATTGTTTTTTTAGACAGATGTAATAAAACAAAAAAGTTAGCAACAATTTCAAAGGGAAAATAGCCATCATTTTCTTACAAGTTCTGTCATTTCTCCATTGTTTCAGTGGAAATTTGCTTTGTTCCCATTATTCTTACAATATATTTGTACTATCATGTATTGAAAATCATTTGAAGTATCAGAATGGAAAAAACAAAACAGAAACTCAAATGCTTTCCTAGTCACCAGAACATATAAATGGAAAGTGATCATACTGCCTGTCATCAGTCTCTGATATTTTGCAAAGTATAAAATATTACCCAATCAACATTCCAAATGAAATAAAAATAAAAAATCCATTATTTGTTTCCTGTAGATTTTGTTTCCTGTAGATTTTTGTTTCGGTTCTTCTTTAAATTTATTTATTCCCTGCCTTTATTACTTTCAACAGTTTAAGAAAATTTTTGTACCAGTACAAGTAACAAGTAAGTACAAGTACCAGTACAAAGTCATAAAACAATGCATATTGACTGGGAACACAATGAAATGTATACCAATATGTAACATACTAAAGTATGTATAAATTTAAGGAGATATCCCCTTTTTTTTTTTTTTTTTTTTTTTTTTTTTTTTTTTTTTTTTTTTTTTTTTTTTTTTCTATTTTATTCTTCACTTCTTGGTTAAGCTCTGTTTATCTACCCTTTTTCCTCCTAAATCAAGGGCGTGCTGACTGGTAAAGTTTTAAGTTAAACTCTAGTTGTGGTCTACATTGAGCTTTTGTTTCAGCTGAAAACTGTAGCTTCATGTTGCAAAAAAACCTTGTAGAACAAGATACCATCTGCACTGATTTTCCCCAATAACCACATCAAATGAGTGTACAGAGGTAAGCAGGCTAACTAGCAGATACAGATGAGGAAACTTAAGCAAACACCTGTTCTAGCCATATTGTACTTGCCAGTGTGTTTATGGAACACAGTCCCATTTCATCTGGTAGCTGTATTAATAAACCTTCCACTTTATCTAACTGCTGAAGAGAAGAGTTGCCTGTGGCAGATAGTCACTTTGACTGAAATACGTAAGATGCTCTTACTGCTGGCACCATTCTTGCTGAGTGATTCTAACAATGAACAGTGATTTTATCTAAAGATGTCACAATAGATAATAATATTATAAAATCAAAAAGGCCTGATGAAAGCATGTTCTTTTTTACAGTCATTACAGTGAACACCTGTAAGCTTCTTAATGGGTTTGCAGATGGTGCAGAGTCTGGGAAGGGGGAGTTTGCTAAATTACAATATTGTATTGACTTTATTCCTCATCTTCCTATTTTTCTCATAATGGTTGTATTGCCTTTATTTTTATCTATATGAACATTCTTACTTTTACATAAACTCCTCATATAATATTGAATACATACAAAGTTATTTCTTATTGTGAAATTTATAATGTAACATTTGTTGGTTTAGGCACACGTAACTACCAGAGTACAATCAGTTAAAGGCTGAACATTCTGCTATTGGAAATCAAAGAAATTAATGGGCATCTAACGTTCAAAATATGTTGTTCCTATCTCCCTTGCAAAACCTTCTGTTGCGTAAAGCAGAGAAGAGACAGGCAAATTCTTGATTTTATGATGATTTTATATTGATGTTATAAGATAAAGCTTTTCAAATAACTAGTCAGATTTGGTGACTCTTCCATTTACCACAAAATTTCTGTTGTGTATTCAAGTTTTTTGGTTTTGCTTTTTCTTTAGAAAATTTCCTTGTTTACTTGCTGTGTTCCATCATGTGGGTTATTGGGGCAGAAATAATTGTGCATTCAAAGTAACAGGTGTGTAACCTTCTAGAAGTAGAAACAGTCCCTTTCCTCCTTATCTAAATTACATATGCCAGTCACCTGTGCCCAGCTTTGCTTACACCCTACCACTTAGCAAATCCTACTACTCCTTCACTTCCAAAGTGACTGAAATAACTGTGATGTTCCTTTTGCAAACACTTCAGTTCCTATATTCCCTTTGTAAACACCTCAGTCCATTTTATTGTAGATATCTTTTGTCATCACTCTTCTTTCCTTTAAAGAGAAATTTGCCTACCTGTACTCCCGAAACAAAAGTGAATCTTCAAAAATCTACAATATATTAAACAATCCACTTGTATTATTTTTACATTAAAAAAATGCTCTCATAAAAAAGTGGTGCAATCAGATTATGAATAGTTGTTAAAGAGACATATCACCCAAAGTTTGCTATTGAGTTATCCCTTTCTCAGGATTTTCTGAATTTGTATTCCTCAACTAAAATAGGAAGAAAAAATAGTTCCTTCAAAATTTTCCTTTCAGGGATTTTCTCATTAATCTGACTCTTCTCATTTTGGCAAATGTTTTTATTTGTTCATTAATTCTCTCTCTTTTCCTTTTCTATTCTAAGAAAACACAGAATTCCTAATTTCTATGCTAAATTATTTGTATAGCTTGCTATTGCTTACTAGTTTTGAATTGTTTATTTAATTTTCTGAGAAACAATTCCGTTATCTAGTGTTTTCCCTTGTTTTACCAGCTAGTTACCTGTTGATTGAGAGAATAATTAGATAATTGACACAGCCTAAGATGATTAACTTTGATTGTATAACTGTTATAGTGTTTCTTATGAAAGTTTATGGCCAGCATAGGAAGTATAGCATTTAAATTCCAATACGTTTCAAGTATAGGAATATAAACAATTTATCATGAGTCGAAAGTGTAACTCATCTGTTATTTTTAGAGCTTTAAAACTGAGGTAAATTTGTGGTTTTCTAGTGCAGGTTGGTTATCTTGTACTTACCGCAGGGTAAAGGACCTCTTTCTACTGTGGACATTACCATGAATGTGGTAGGATGAGTAATGCCTGAGAGGCCATATGGCCTTAAGTGTCCTCCTGGCAAAGCATGTGAGAAAAGCCAAGAACCAGTCAGAAAACCAGCCACATTGCTCAAAACTGTTGAAATGTCCAGCTGGAATCTGAGTCTCATCCCTTCTCATAATTTACTGGGCAATGTGATCTTGTCTGTTTCTGTCTGTCTAACCTCTAGAAAAGTCTTAAAAACCATCTGGGCTATGAAAAGTTTTTTGTGCAGCTCACGTAAGGTATGTTTAGTTATATTATTAATGGATTTAGCTGAGATATCGTGATAAACTACTACCATTAATTAGTTGTCTTGAAGTGTGGGATTAGGAAAATAAGAAGTTCTGAAAACTGGTCAAAACTTCTACCCTTTTGCCAACACTTTATTGGTCTTGCCCTTCTACCCTTTTGCCAACACTTTATTGGTCTTGCCAAAGTAGCCTTTTAAAGATTAACATGTTATTTAACTGAAATTCATCTCTTTTTTTTTCTGCACTTCTCTGTTAAAGTCAGCTGGCAATAATATAAAGCCTTCCACCTTGTTTGTTTTGCTTCAGCTTTGAAAAGTAGTAATAGTTAATGGACTAGTTAAAAAAAAAGAAAGTTGCTAAAACTTGTCCAGTTTTTACATCTGTTTCATTTGTAAGTTAGTTTCATGTATATTTGATATTCAACATGGGCTGTTGTGACTAACCTTTGCATTAACTCATTGGAAAATAATGCTTTTTTAAAACTTTCATTACATAATTAAGTCACGGAAGTATTAAATACACAATATCACCAATGGCTCGTATTTCAATTTGCATTTGAGTAACAAGATCTATTTGAAAAAGTCACATATTTTACATAATATTTTAGAATGCTTTAAGTCATTCAGTCATTATTATTTTAAGCAATATTGGTCATATCTTAGTTATATGGGATGTGCAGACATAACACAACATTGCTATTTAATATTTAAAATATTCTATGATTCTAAATATAATCTTGCATCTTGCTTATGAACTCTCAGATGAACAGGTGCTATAAAAAGAGTGGTAAGCTTTTTTCTGTTACTTATTAGGCCCAAATAGTAAGTATACCAAATAGTATAGTCTCTGATAAGCAGTGCCATTGCTTAACCTAAAAGCTCCTTCCTGTGTACAAGAGCATACAATGTCAGTTGATACATCAAAAATTCTGCATTTCCCCAGGAATGGAAATGCAAGCTGTAGTAAGACAGCATTTAAATTTTGTGCAATTTTTGCTTGGTACTTTCTGAGGTGAGAGCACATATTCGTTGTTGGTTCTAAACAGCAATGGCAAAGTTCTCTAGTATGCATAAAAGATCTTTTTTTTAAAACTACTATCTGTACTAGCACAAATCACACAGTCTTCACAAATCTTAAAAATAATAGTTTTCCTGATGAAATACCGAGTTCAGAAACTAAAACTTTTCTGTATTAGTGCTTTGACTCAACTTCTTTTCTTTGAGCTCAGTAAGTCTATTTTTACCTAGTATACAAAGTACAGATTATGTTAGTAGGTATCTGAAGATGCACTGATCAAATGAAAACAATATCGTTTGCTATCTGCAACTGACAAACAAAAAGAAAAACATGCACAGTTATTTTCATACTAGTCTGATATTTATCTTTATAATATTTGTGATATTTGTATATTCTGTTTTTGAAACACCAAATACCTGGTCTCCAGTGTGTTTTTCTTTCAGTAATCTAGTTTTGATAAGAAAAGGCCAAGCACATGGAGGAAAAGATGCCTTCTCAAAGTCAGGATGAGTTCCTAAGGTTTGATAGCCTTAAAGTCACATGCAAGGAGGTTTATTTTACTTTTTCTTCTGCAGTTGTCCTTGGCTCTGTGCAGCACTTTTACGCAGCAACTTAAATATTGGCGTGCTATCACTACTCTCTTCATAAAAATCCTAAACACAGCATCATAAGAGCATCTAAAAGAAAATTAACTCTATACTAGCCAAAACCATTACATTATTCTATCTCATTGCATGTTAAATCTAAGGGTGAATATTTCCACTATTTCCAGATGAAAATTAGGAAAAAAAATGATATTTTGTATTTGTCCTCAAATATCTAAATTCTCAGTCTTTAAAAAAAGAAAAAAAAATATTTTTCTGAATAGTGGACAGGCAATTCTGTGCAGTGGTTGGATTAAATGTAGAAGTGTTTGAGCAGAAAGAGGTCATTAATGGTTTGCATGGTGGTACAGAAGTGTTAGTGTTTAAATATTAATTCATTGCCATCTGTCATGCTGTTTTTACCCATGCACTGTTGGCCAATACAGAAAGCATAACTACTACCCAAATGTTCAGAGCAGGAAAAAGTAATTTCCTTTTATGAAGGAAAAATCTCCAAAGAAAAAAATAATAGGCATTATTCGTTGGTATCTAGGTTTTGAGGGATACAGCATATATCTTCAAAAGATGGCACTAATTATTTGTCCTAAGCTGTATTAACTGCTAATATATCATTTAACTGCAAAAGCATGTGCTGTGCATTTGTCTTGACATTCACAAGGCTGCTGCTGTGTGCTAAGCATTATTAAATTACCTACAGCATCTGGCCCTTTAACAAGTCCCTGACAGGACATTAAGATTTTATTTTAACTCCTTTTTTTTTTTTAAACTTTCCCTGATGTTCAGACAGCTCAATAATATTAGTAAAAATATATTATTCTAACTAGGAATGATTTAGGTGAAGAACAAAAAAAAAGGACAAATAAATGTGAAGTCATTTTTAATTTAATTGAAAAAACATAAAAAATGAATAAATGAATGATGTTCAAATGATGTTCAAATAAGAAAGTCAATAGCATGCTGCTGTTGTTGAAGATGTTGAGTTAGCAGAAAGAGTTATCAAAAATATGGGTGAGGAGTAATTTCATTCAAGACTTGGAGTCATTGTTCAGCTTAGATTTTTAGCAGATGTCTTACTGAGTCATCTATGATAAATTAACCTCAATTTCTAACTTCAAAAGAGGTTTATATAAGTAGGTAGTAGGTGGTAAAGTTTGGAAATGTTTGTTACAGAAAATCACAAACCCCAGAGTATAAAGTCCTAGTTTACACCTATTACAAGACTATGGCATTTCCAATTCTATATTATCCCAATTATAGATTTTTAATTGTACCATCTCTAGATGTACAGGGTGTCTTGATAAAACTTATCTCAGACACAGAAAGGATTTTTAAATGCATACATAGTATAGACTTTTGAGATTTCTGTAACAAATTAATATACCTCTGAAAAGGTTTTTATTTTCCTTGGGTTATTCTTAGGAGAGAAATACTGCAGTTGCAGCTGAATGATGAAAAGATGGCATTGTATGATTAGGGTTGATTAGCTAAGTATTCAGAAATTTCTTCTAGATTTCTTTCTGCCATTAAAAACTTTCAATAGATCTGATGTTAATTAGTCACCTGGAATAGTCACTTCTCTTTGAATCGCTAACATCAGTTGCAGATCAAAGTAACACAGAGTGAGCGTATTTTACAAATCAAAACTAAGGACTGCATTTACCTTAAAAGAAGTTACTCCAACTTACAGTTTTAAAACTTCATGAGTTGTCATTGGTGAATATAAGGACAGATGATTTATTTGGAGAAGCTGTTCTGTTGCTCTTGTCTTTCATGGGTTATCAAGGCATCTGGGATCCTAAAGTTGTTTCAGTTGACACTGAAAGTTCCTACCTATTTTGCTTCTAGAAAGGAGAAAGCAGTTTTCTGTTATGGAAGAGAATGCTGTGATGTCTCTGACATTCACCTATCTTTTAAGAAGGAAAGGGAAATCTGCTAATCATCTTCTTTAATTTGATCTTTTTGGATTTGTTTTTCTTCTGTTGTTTGTTTTACTCCATATTTTACTTTATGTGAGCTTTCATTTATACTACTTGTCATTTAAGTATACTAATGGGTCTGTAGATCATGAGGTGGAGAGAACCAACATCTGCCACTTCATATCCTAGAAGTGTCATTAGATTTGTTTTATTATTTTATGGAAAACTGAAAAGGAAATAAACGCTGTGGGAACTGCTGAGGGGGGGAGGGGGGGTACAAAAACAAACAAACAAAAACAAAAAACAAAAAAAAACAAAAAAGCAACACTTTATATGGTTGCCCACAGCAGAAAACATGATACAGGGCATCACCAAGCAAAATATACATAACCACAAAATTTATGGGGAAGAGATTCACCTCTGCTGGTTGGGGAAATCTGAGCTGGGTAGAAAGCTGTGATGACTGTACGTGCCCACAGTACAGTGAAAGAAACCATTATATGCTACCCAGGATTTGTGCTTCCATCTTCAAAGTTATATTTTAATTGTAATATTGACTTTGAAAAGCAAAACTTTAAAAACATGAATTTCAGTTCAGTTCACACAGTTTATGCTTGAAATTTTATCTGCATTTGTCTTAATGCTATTTACAGTATTATAACTCCCTGTATCCATATGCATCTGGTTTAATAATAGTTTCAATTATGAGTCTATTGCACAACAAGCATATGTTTATAACAGTATATATGATATATGGATGTGTATAAAATATACATCATCTATATGCTTTAAATGAATTAAATTTTGCAGAATTGCAATTATTTAATTATTAAACTTTATAGAACTTAAACAGCAAGTAAATAATTCTTCCTGACACAAAACAACAAGAGAACTTGGTGTAGTTTTGCCTTAATTCAAATTAAATATATAGAGAAGTAGACTACATATTCAGTTTGAAGTCCATTTATCAGTGCAGCCTGAAAGTTTTTTGGATGGTCAAATGTTTGATATAAGTTACATTTCAGTAAAGAATCTGGAACTTAGATTTTCTTCCAAGTTTCTGTGAACTGATGTATTCATTATTAAAAAAGATACAGTCATCTGGATAATCTGAAAATAAGCATAGTGGATAGTTTGCTCTACAAGTTGGAGCTGTAAAATTTTAGAAGGTTTGCTTTCTTCATACAGAGAGATGATTCTCTCTTTGTTGGTACTAGTATTAGAAATTCAGAAATTGTAGATTTGTAAAGTGTTTTTGGAAACATAGCAAGGTGCATTATGGCTGAGAAGATAAAACAATATTGTACTGCACGTGCAACTGATTACTCTTATTTCAACTGGGAAATGAAAATGTAATGAAACAGAATTCCATTTTGATTACTCTGTAGACAGTTTAACTTTTCCAAACCATTTCATAACAGTCACATCTGGTTCCACATCAAAGAGATTAAGTTAACATGTATTAATTTTTATTTTTGTAATCTCTCAAGTGGCTTGAATATACTAACCACTCTTCCAGCAGTAAGCAACACTAAGCGATGCACTGTTAATACCTGATTGCAACATGAAGAAAAAGCATAAAAAACTAGAATTCATCTTGTAAGGGTAGTTTGGACTACCTGTATTTCTTAAAGAAAGATTATTTTTTTAATAGCTGATTTTGCAAAATAAGGCCTGATATTGCAGTTCTTCACCTCAAATTAGCTATCACATTTTTTTGTATTTCTTCTTATATATTTTGATAATGTACTTTTATATATTAAACTGAAAAATTTGACAAAATGAAAGTAAACCAATGATCCAGATAAATAAAACTGAAATAATAAATGTGGATTTCTTTGTCACTGATGCCTTCTGCTAAATTTTTACCCATTTATACTGATAAGTTTCAGGTGTACATTTGAAATTTAATTAGGAATTAATGACAAAATTGATAGATAATTATTTCCTGAAATCTTGAATTTTTTTTTTATGCTAGTTATGCTTTATTCTGTTCACTTTAAAACACTACTTTCAGAATAAAGTATGCTTTCACCGATTAATAAAATAAAGTAATTTTAAAAAGTAATTTAGCAGACAAAACATGAAGAATAAAGATAATGCCTATATATTATGAAGCACTTGAGATTTGGTACATCCCATAGGTCTATTTGATTTCATAATTATTTTAGATCTTTTGAGCTTTGAGACATTTGGCACTTTTCTGTCATAGAATCTGAAATAAATTGTGATGTCTCCCTTTTTTGTTGTCACTCTTTTTTTTTTTTATTCTGCTGTTCAAATTTGCAATAGAACTGAATGAGAAATATCATTATCCTCTGCACTGAGAATCTGATTTTCATGGTGTAGCCCCCTCTTTTATTTATCCTTTTCTTTTCCCATTTGAAAGAAGCTGCACTTCAGGCTGAACTAACCTCTGAAAGCACTGTCTGAACTGACATTTCATTAAGTTCACAGAGTTTGAGTACATCATGAATTCTTGTGTTATCTTCCACACGATACTGAAATAGATGTTTTGCGCAGTTCTTTTAAATTTAATCTTGGTGTAAAATAATGAAAAAGTTACTCTATGTATTAATTTAACATTACTTTACAGTAAAAACTGTTTACCAGGCTTACAGAAAGGAAACAATTTGACAAAATCCTCATATATGCGTTCATGGTACTCTGTGCATACAGATGAATACTTTTGTTTTTACAAAATATCTTAGATAAACCATTCACTTTCCTTTCAGGGGCTGATGCTGTGGAGGCCCAGTGTAAGAGATTTGAAGTAAGGGCAAATGAAGGTGGAAAAGTATTATTTTCTGCAGATGAAGATGAGATAGTCATTGGAGCTGACAGACTGAAGGTAACAGGTATGTTAATTGTAAGGTTTCTAAATGAACGTTAGTCCTCTCCCTCTCTTCTCATTCCCTTACTGACCAAAAGATATTGCAGAATTCAAAAGGTGAATTCCTACAAAGGCAGATTTGAATTTTAACTCTGCTTGACCAGCAAATGGTAAAAATTACCCTCAACAAAGACATTTGGTTTTATATGTTACTGTTAATAAAGCATTTTTCTGTGGTTGCTATATCATCTGATTAGGTAATGCTGCTTCACAGTGGTAAAAGCTTTTGTTCTTTATCATGATTTTGATAGTTCTGTATTTGAAATACCAGGTCCAACTTATGTGTGAATTAAGGGTATGTACTCTACTACACTTTAGAAGTCTTGACTGAATTGTAGTACACAAAATACTTGTCTTGACTTCAACATTTGTTCAACAGAACAAAAATAAAATTGTCACTGATATTTTACTGTCATCATTACATGCATACATATATGGGTAAGTTACACGTTTGATATTAGACATGTGTTAACTTAAAAAAAAAAAAGAAAAAAGTTAGATTTGTTTCAAATAAATGCAAATGTTCCACTTTAAATCAATACCAGGAATAGGACAAAAGTACACTCAGGAAGGCCAGGGTCAAACAGAGACTGAATTTTCTTTATAAGCCTTAGAATAAATTAGATTGTTGCTTGCCAGTATTTGGGGGGTAAATTTTCTTACACAAAATCACAGAATTGCAGGGGTTGGAAGGGACCTCAAGAGATCATTGAGTGTAACCCTTCTGCTAAAGCAGGTCCCCTACAATAGGTCACACAGGGTCTTGAATATCTCCATGGAAGGAAACTCCACAGCATCTCGTGACAACCTGTTCCAGTGCTCCAGTACTTATTCACTCTTCTTTGATCTCTGTTGATCTTCTCTGGCCACAGGATTTTTTCAGTACTAAACAAAAAGAACAAACTTTCACAAGCTGACAGTTTAGTGATGCCACAGTATCCAATACTAAATTGTATATATTGTCCATATTTGTATTTATGAAAAGGATAAATGAGTGTTTGTGGAGTCAATGGCATTCTTTATAGTTAGTACATTTAAAATAAGTCTTTTGTTTTGTTTTAATAATAAAATGTAAGAGAATAATGAGAATAATGTGAGAGGAAGAAGATAGTCATTGGAACCCTATCAAGACTCATGCTCGATCAGAATTTTAAATTCTGTGAAAGTTAATCTTAAACATACAGTTGACACAGCGGATTTCAAAGTGTCTACCATAAGTTACAAAATAAAATGTCGAACATATGGCACAGAGGATGAGATTTCCTGCCATTAAGAAATCTGATCATGTACTGTGGTTGTAATGACAGTGCACTGCTCAACTGATTTTAACTTCAAAGTAGTTTGAGTACTGACAGCACCTGTTGACTTCAGCGGTATTAGAAAGCAGAGGAACTAAAGTAAATTTGTTCAGCGATGGTCAATATGGCATATAGAAGTGCTCCTTGTAAAAAGAACAGGATTTTATTCTTAACTTTTGCAATATACCTGGCTGTATGTACATTCATTTTAAGCACAAAAAAAATAATAATAAAAAAGGAAAGTCTAGGTTAAGTTAATGCTGCTTTGGTATACTTATCTGAGATTTGGGGATTACTATAAGCCTGTCAATTCACACAAAAAATATTACTATTAGATTTGGTTTTTATTTTGTGGCTATGGTGAAAAATAAAAAAGCACTGACTTTGACATTAATTACTTGCACAATAGAAAATAAAGAAAATGAAATATATGAAAGATTTAGTCAGCTATTAGATATCACATAGAAAAGGATGGCCATTACCTAGAATCATAGAATTGCTCAGATTGGAAAAGACCTTAAAGATCATCAAGTTCATCCGCAACCTAACCAAACCACTAACAACCCTCTGCTAAATCATGTCCCTGAGCACCACATCCAAACGGTTTTTAAACACATTCAGGGATGTTGACTCAACCACTTCCCTGGGGAGCCTATTCCAGTGCTTAACAACCGTTTCAGTAAAGTTTTTCATGATAACCCACATAAACTTACCTTGGTGCAACGTGAGACCACACTGAAAGATTTACTAGCTTCTGAGCAATTCTGTGTAGGTCTGAGAATTAAATACAAAGTATTTATTGTTAATTTTCAATTTACATGGCAGTTTGTTTAGAAAAATATGTGAAGGTATTTTGTAATTGCAAATTGAAAGAGTAATTTATTTTTTAAAATCCTTTGGAAATCATTAAGTATCTATTTGGAAATAACATAATGAAGTTGGGATCATTGATTCTAATCTCTGGTTAATCATCTTGTTGTCTTAATATCTTATAAAAAGGTTATTTTCAAAATTTTATACTTTAGATCACTAGGGCCCAGTTTATGTTAATCCTTATGTCATTTTATTAGACAATAAAAATATCCTACAGGAGGAAGGGAAGAGTATAAGATAGAAGAGCATTTCTGACAGGCATACACTGAAAACCATTATATCCCAATTTCTCTATCTCTACAAAGCTTTTTGCATCAGAATTACTAATTTCTAGCAAAATGATTAAGCTGTAATGAGCTGTAAAATGCTTTACTGTTTACTTCAGTCTAAAGCTAAAATTACTGAAAATAGATTTCCAGGAGGAAAATAAACATTGTACGATGCAGAGAAAACAAAATATGAGTATGAGAAAGCAATAATAACTGTCCTATCACACATCACAAACACAAATCTATTATAATGCAGTATAATATTTTTTTTCACTTTTTTTTTTTTTTAACATGTCATATGATATGGGGCATCACTTTGGCCAGTTTAGTCCAGCTTTCCTGTTCTGGTCCCCTCCCATCTTCTTGTGCTCCCACAGCCTACTTACTCACAGGACAGTACACAAAACCAAGAAACTGAAACATTCCTGGCTCCATATAGCACTGTTCAGCAACAACTAACACATCAGGACAAAACCAGGACAAAAAACTTTCATGGTATGTGCACATTACTACAGATTGTCTTCTGACTTTTTTTTTTTTTTAAACAAATATGTAGTTACAGTTTAATAAGATGCACTAAATAAAGCATAGGTAATGGTAGTAGGAGAAACACAAAGAAGAGGTGTAAAAACCTGCTATGAGGCTTCTCCCTTGTCAAATGAAGTGAAGTTATGTAGAAGGGTGGAAGAGAGGGAAGGAGAGTAGGAGACATTTTTCAGTTTTGGTGGAAACATTCTCACATTAATAACAGGACAGATGTGGGTTAAATCTACGTTTACACCAGAGTAGTGTCAGGGAAAAATCTGTGATATTCTGCACGTATTTTCATTACATGAGAATTTATAAGGAGTTCAGCATGGCTTTGATCAAAGTTATGTACTTCATTGGAAGAAAGATCAGAGCCTTGATGTATCAAGGAAACTCCAGAATGTTCTTCCACACTTTTACTCTAATAATGTTCTAATAATATCCAGGATTAACATGTAGATGAGTGTGTCACTACCTCAGTTTTGATTTTAAGATTATGTGTAGGACTGTGAGTCTGCATGTAATTGAAATGTAGTAAAGTCTTCCAAAGTAGTTAAAATGAAATTCTGAAGTAGAAATATGGGCTATGGCTATAAAAGATAGTATGACAAAAATATGGAGAAATATATATGAATTACAAATTAGATTGACAGAGCAGAATTAAAATATTTATAACAAGTACTGAAATGTAGAAAAATAAATGCTTATTTGATGTACACTGTTATGACAGCAGATATATATCTAGTTCCTTCAGAGTCTGACTAGGAATTGTAGTATGAAGAGGAGAAAAGATCTTGGATTTGCCATGTTCTCATTTAGGACAAATAGAGTGTGGATTGTGAAGTTGCAAGAGATGAAGGGAAGCACTAAATCACTTTAATCTCACTTACTTAGACAAGTTATAAGTGATCATAGTAAAATTACTGTATTTGATGTTGCAGTAAAAACAAGCCTTTGAATAGATGTACTAGACTCTCAAGATCTTGAACTCTGAATGAACCAGGATTCTTACATCAGCATTTGTCAGTAACAAAAATGCATTATATATATATAGCTTCTGTGGTTCCCAAATGATGAGTAAATAATGTGTAATTCAAAATGTACTGAGTGAATAAGATTTCTGATGAGCTTATTTAGATGTCAGGGAATCACTTAATGTCCAGAATTTTCTGCAGAAGAGTACTGATTACTATTACAGGAATCTAGCCAATTACAACAGAGCAGCTTTTCGGGGCACTGTTCTTGAGAAGCATCCTTGGAGTTGATTACAAGGTTGTATATGTGAGTGCCAAGCTATCTCTGAACTGGAATTTTTGTGGGCAGGTTAAAAGTAGTGAACCTAAATAAATAAATTTCTTATAGAGGACATTGCACAGATACATTTATGTCTTCTTGTTAAGCATGGAATGTGTCCCCAGTCTGTTCAGATTACAAACTGTATGTGCTTACATCAGCCTGCAGGTGAAATATGTCGGTTGTTGGAGGGCTGCAGTTATCTAAGCATAATGGCAATTGGTTTGCAAGGAGAAGGTTTTGAATTTTGACAGTTTCAGAAAAGCATGCTGAGGAACATAGTGACTGGGCTATAAATGTATGCACAGAGAAAGAAGCCTTAATTAAAGAAGTTTCTCTGCAAGTGAGTAGACTCGAAAGAAGAAAAATGTGTAGAAGTTTCTGTAGTCCTGCTAGCCCAGGAAAATATATTCAGTTTGCTCCAGCATTCCACTGGGAAGTTCTTAAGATAATTGTGCCCTACAACCAGAGATGTAGAGAGAGACTGCATACTCAGACAAGAGAATGGAAAGATTAATAAAGAAAGACATAAATAGAATCCTAGCAAAATCATGCTCTTCTGATGTTTAGGTAGAAGAAAATCATCTGTCTAATACCTGTCAATTATTCTATAACCTGTACTTTCTGAATGGCTTTTCTTCCATATTGAGAGGTTTTTTTTCTTCTTTTTTTTTTCTTTCTCTTTTTGTAGAGCAGTGGTGATA